GACCAAGGCACTGTTACACACAACGAGCCTGCAGCAGCAGTGATTTCTTGTGGTGTGGCATTCCTAAACTGTAATTTTGCCTGATTTATGGAAGTCTGTAACTCTAACACAAGAAGAGACAAAGGAGTCATTACCCTCTTCATCAAACGATTAATATTTTGTTCCTGATTTCCACACTCTGGTCTTAAATTTGTCAAGGTACTTTGATTAGTTACACAGCACTTACAGGCATCAGACATGGTGTGACGATCTAGGAAACCAATTTCAGATGAACCTCAGAACTTGTTTTTGCAATTGTGAAAGATTTCTTGTTTGTTTCTTCTCTCCTGTAGCAATGTAGGGGGGTTAACACTGACCATGACTTCATTCATTCTGAGATGTAGTAAAGTATACTTTTTGTTTGTTTGTTTCCCTTTTAACCTGGAAGAGGCTTTTAATCACTTAAACAGTGAAGATGAGGAAATGGAATTTTGGCTTTCGCTTTTGCACCTGACTTAACCAAATCGTCTGCTCATTTCACATCTACGGAATGCCCATGACATGCCAGGCACTGGCTCGGGAGCTAGACATCCGAAGATACAGGACTTGGGGAATTCACAGTTTGGAAGTGTCGTGGCCAGGTTTAACTCTAGTGCGACTGCAGGGTTCCTTGTTCATATAAATACAGATGCAGGAGACAGGCCATTTTTTAACTTTGTAAGTCCTGACTGCTTTACAGACTGAATCCTTGTGTGCTTGGGTCACAAGTTAGTATGTGAAGAAAAATAAAACTGACTCTCTTTTCTGCTCATGGAATCTCTGTTTTCCAGCCGTTTAGTAGTATAACACTTACAAACTTGTTCTTTTAGTGAGAGATATCCTTTCTTAAAATGGTGATTATTCTAGGTATCTAGAAGCTTTTGGAAGAAGTCCTGTGTGTCTTCTTACTTTGGTATTCATGCTGACCTTCCTGTCTCTGCCATTCATAATTAGGGGCAGTATTTTAGTATTGTTAAGTTTTGTTCGGATTTACACAGTCTCCTTTGGTTTCTGGAACAAGTCAGGACATTTGAGAAGATGTGAAACGTTCTTGAATTAGATCTGTCTCTGTTTTCTTCAGTGAGGTTCTTTGAACGGTATAACCTGATAGCTTGGGAATTAAAAAGACATTGTGTTTTCTAGACAACCGTTGTCAATTGTATGTAGCTGATTATGTTCATTTGTACCACATGTTGTGACCTTTAATATTTTCCTATAAAATGTATTTCTTGACCAGCATTTCATTGCATTGATAGGAAACTGGTAGTTATTTGTGTCTTTCAACCCTCATCTTGATTTAGTGACTTTATTTTAGTGCCATTAGACTCTCATTTATTCAGAATCCAGACCCTCAACAAGCTCAGGTAACCAGACACATTTTCAAATCTTTGTGACCCTGAACCATTCCCTCATCTGGAATGTTGTTAAAAGAAAGGCCTTCTTCTGTTCGATATGGTTTAGAGTTAAATACATCATTGCATTCCGCCTCTTTGGTAATCTTCATTCAGCACTTAGAGTAATTATCAGGATATTCATAATCACTCCATTTCCCAGCCTGAAATAAGTACGATGGCATTTAGATGAATCATTTGTGATATATTTACACTCACAGTGAAGTATACGATTAGAGGCAATTTTAAACCAATTAGACCTGAAAGGTAGTAAGAGAACACAAAGTAGGGCAGTTATCATATCTTAAATCTGCCATATTTCTCAGTATCTAACACTGTGCTGAGTGCACAGAAATACTCAACACACCAGCAAACCTTGGTTGATAACTCATCGACGGTGTCTTTTATGTCTTTCCCGTTGCAGTCTTTAGTTTTTACGGCTTGGGTGCTTAAGACTTAATTTAACTATTGTGCATGTCCCAGGGAAAGAAGAATGTTGTCATAATATTCATTTCTACGGTGGAGGAAAGTCTCTTTATTAACCTATATCTGCTGCAGTGCCAGTGTATGGAGCTATTAACAATCATGAAATTTATTATCTTGTATCGTTGTAGAGTCATCAAGTTCCCCATTCACCTTTCTCTGTCAGTTGCAATGAAGAGAATCTGTGTTTAATGTAGTTGCAAACCTATTCTTTCTTAATGTGTACTTTCCAAAAGAGGAAAGGCCACCGCCTTTTTATTTTTGGGTAATGCTTTTTCAATATTTTATGAACTTTTGTTCTGTCCGTTCTAGTTGTCTAACGTGATCCCTGCTTTTATCGAGTTTAAACTCACTGCCACTTGTGCTAACTCAGGTTAGAGAAAAGCTCTCCTTGTGTGCTCACTGTAAAATACAGTTCTTAATAACTGTTGTTAAATTGCCTTCCACCTTTTTATAAACCAAAGTAGTTATATTAAATTTTACTGTGGACTGTCTCTTAAATGACTTGCATAAAACACTTCTGTAATCAAATTCATTTAAGACATAGTGTCCTAATGCATTACGTATAGCAATTTAGTTTTGTCTTGGTAATATTTCATGACCCACTGGTGGGTTTTATTTTAAATCATGACATGACATATTAATCTAGAGAGCCAACAGGGTAGGAATGTGGGTATACAATATTAAGATTCAAGGACGTTCTTAATTTTAATATTTGAAGGTGTAATTTTTAGGAATTTTAAGAAGTCATTCCTTTTCTAAATAGAATTACCATACTTTCAAAAGCAATTTTGGCCAGAAATATTTAAATACATTTATAAGGAGAACAAAACAACACGCTTTTTTAGACGTTGCTCTTTGACTCTCTCCTCCTTCCGGGAGTAACCCAAACGAGGTCAATGCAGTAAAGCCTCTGTGCTTTACTCCTAAAAGGCTGTTCAGAATTTATGTATACCTCTTTTAGTGACTGTTGTTTGTTTTTTTTTTAAACACACAAACGTATTTCATCCTCTGGCTTCTCAGAACCGATTAGAAGCAGTAAGTTGGAAAGCAACAAGGCCGTAAAATGAGCCAAATACACATTGCAGGAAACCACAGAAAATGGCTGATTGCAAGGGAAAATCAAGGACTGTAAATCTATAGAAAGCAGACCCAAGAACTCACAAAGCCTTTCAACAAAGTAACAGACATCTTTGTATCTTGAGAGTCAGGTGACAACTTTATATTCATATTGATAACTCAGTGATTCAGAAAAGGCTATTTCCCTGTTGATCTTTGAGAAGAATTTTAGTCAGAAACAACAAATACTTCATTTTGGTACCTTAAAGGAATGCAGCCAAAGTAAGGATTTGGGTTGCTGTTTGAGTAGCCTTCATGAGGGGTTTTTGCTCATAATGGTGCCAAGATAGGGGTTTCCACAGGTGTCTTATGTAAGTGGCAAATATAAATTGATTCTATTCCTGCCGAAGTAGACAGTGCCCTCAAGTGGAATTAAGACAAACACATTATAAAAAAAAAAAAAAAAAAAAAAAAAAGAGAGACAGAGAGAGAACCACTTTAAGCCAGCTCTACCCCTGCTTTTTACTAAATGTTGCACAGATATTTCAAGAGTATTGGTTTAAAGGGATGCCAAACTCTTTATCTGGTCTTGGGTAATTTACATGTCTCGTTGTGGGTTGTAGTGGGACAGACTTTTAAAAAACCTCACCATTAGAGAGCACTTCATTATCTAATGATGCATTCTTTGTATAGATTTGACCGATTATTTAATCATTAAGTTAAATTATTAAACTGAAAATTTGGTTCTTTACTTTTAGGAGTATTTATTTTTAAATTCCAAGAGGAAACTAGATAAATATGATAGTCCAATCAACTGTTGCTGTTACTCAGAATGGTGGATAACTCTACCTCAAAGAAGGAGGGAATAAGTAACTGTGTTTAGAAACCAAATAGCCACACTCGTGTCCCAGAGAATACATAAGGACTATTTTTTTTCAGTAACATAATTAATTAAAATAATGAATTCTGCCTTTGATTTAGTGAAATCGCATAGTGTTTAACCCCCAGTTAAGGTAGGGTTGCGAAGGCTGTTTTAATTGTGCAAGACTGGTATTGTAAAAATTTTCAGTGAAGATTTGAAACTGGAAATAGTCTTTTTATGTTTTTCTTTCCAGCATAACATAGTTAAAATTGTGGTGTTTGTTACTGTACTACAGTTACGTTCTTTGTTATGTAGTCCAAGTTTTAATGGCTACAAAATTGATTTTTAACATCTTTACTATCAGATTTACAATATCTGATATTTGAGATTATGAGAAATTAAATGATGGCTCCGATTAATATGATTAACATTTGCCTAAGGACAAAATGTACATGATGAAAGGAATGAAACTGAATCAGAGATCAAGTAAATGATCCATTATCAAAATAGGGAGCACAGATAAATGAATCGTGGTTACAGTTTCAGAATATGATTTATGTTTTTTTTGATAAAAGATGTTCAGCATAATAATTATGATGGGTAACTTTTCACTTAAACCACGTGTACAGAAATAATAGCCTCTTTGATGTCTGTTTTGCTGAAATGCAGCAACTTACTCATTTAGGTTAGGCCTGATCTATTAAAAACGCTACTTTTTAAAGCTTAAAAATGCATATATATGTTTAAATCTGTATAGAATGTTATCTTTTACTAGAATTTGATTTTATACATTGCATTGCCATGGAAACAAACATTTATTGTATTGTGTTTGAAGCTACTTTACAATTGGATCTCCTTAATTAAAGATGCAACGTTACAGTAGGTACAAGTGATGCATGTGTTTTAGCCTTTTTAGGTAATTTTGGAAGTATTTCATTTATGTGTGTGCTTTTACTAATCAAATGAGATCTTAAGTCTTTAACCTTGATTTTGGCTCATGTAGAATAAAGTGTAAAGTTTCTTTTTGCTTGTCCTCCAGGCATTTTGCTTTGCTGTCTTGTTACAGCATGGACACCAAATTGCTAAAAACGTGCTTTGGGACTGCCAGTGAATTTATCTTTTGTGGTTTTCCTACAAACTTAGTAGTTCCCTTTTTTTTGAGTTAATATTTCGGAGTTAATGTCACCATGAGTTCAGGCTTATGGAGCCAAGAAAAAGTTACTTCACCCTACTGGGAAGAGCGGATTTTTTATTTGCTTCTTCAAGAATGCAGTGTTACAGACAAACAAACGCAAAAGCTCCTTAAAGTACCAAAGGGGAGTATAGGACAGTATATCCAAGATCGTTCTGTGGGGCACTCGAGGATTCCGTCTGCAAAAGGCAAGAAAAATCAGATTGGATTAAAAATCCTAGAGCAACCACACGCAGTTCTCTTTGTTGATGAAAAGGATGTTGTAGAAATAAATGAAAAATTCACAGAGTTGCTTTTGGCAATTACCAATTGTGAAGAGAGGTTCAGCCTGTTTAAAAACAGGAACAGACTGAGTAAAGGCCTCCAGATAGATGTGGGCTGCCCTGTGAAAGTACAGCTGAGATCCGGGGAAGAAAAATTTCCTGGAGTTGTGCGCTTCAGAGGACCCTTATTAGCAGAGAGAACAGTATCGGGAATATTCTTTGGAGTAGAACTACTGGTAAGTTTGATAAACCTTTTTAGTGAGCTTGTGCGTGTGTGTGTTTCTTTCTGTGTATATTTGTATGCACACATGTTTTTTTTTTTTTTTACCCCTTTAAATTAAATACAACAGAAGTTTTTCCAGAAATCTCCCATAGTTTTTAATATTCACAGTTCTTAGGATTTACTTTTTAATGATAAATTGAGATAACGTAAAGATGATGCATTGAAAACTTTTTAAAAACTACCTAATGTAGTAGGAAATACACATAGATCATGTAATTGTTGAAGGGTTTCCAATATTAGAAATTTTAACATTGTGCTAAAAGTGAACTCTGCCAATTATAATTGAATTAATCACCTCACAAAATTATGAATTATCTTGTGACCGTAGTAACTGTAGGTCTTTCAGTTTTTCTCAGGGTGTGCTATTAAGTTCATGAAACTTAGATATAAGATTTTCAAAAAATAAGGTGCGGCAATTTAAATTGGCTTATAGTTGTCCCTGGTAATATATGTGAAAATGACCCAGGAACTTCTTTCTCCTGAAGGGAGAACCAACAACTCCGTGATTCATTTCCAAAGTTAATGTTCTCAAGAGCTTAAATGTCAGTTACATTTTTTACATTCTTGCATATAGAATTTCATGATCAAAAAGTTTCTAAAGCAGCCAGTTGTAAACCAAGTAAGAGATCTGAATCCCAGCTATACTCTTTACTAGTTGGGCTGCCAGGTTACTTACCCAAGCTACTTCTCTTAAAGCTGCTTCCTCATCTGTAAAATAATGAAACCAGCACACAGCTTGAAGCGTTTTTTTGTGATACATCGATTCAAGAGTCTGTGTGGTGGCTGGCACATAGTAAGTACTCAGTAAATGGAGCTAACGTTATCGTGGTTTTAAAGTAAATTTTTCCTTTTATGACACAGTTATTGTTCGTATTGAGATGTAGAATCTAGCCCAGCTCTCTCACAGTGGAATTATGACTTTTGATTAATTAATTAATTAATTAATTATATTTCAGCATCAGATACAGCTTCTTTTTTCCTTTTTTTTAGACACTCGAAATTCACCAGCAACTGCTAATAATTATATTTCTTATCTCTGTCATTCGGAATTTTCCCAGTGATTTCTCTGAAATCCTCGGAGTGGATCTTTGTTTCTTATGGATCATCTTACTTCATTTCTTCTCTACCTTATCAGTCATTTTTCCCCCCCACCTGAAAACTAGGAAGAAGGCCGTGGCCAAGGTTTTACTGACGGGATATATCAAGGGAAACAGCTTTTCCAGTGTGATGAAGACTGTGGAGTGTTTGTTGCGTTGGACAAGCTAGAAATCCTGGAAGATGATGACAATGGATTGGAAAGTGATTATGCAGGTCCAGGGGACACCGTGCAGATGGAACTTCCGCCCCTGGAGATAAACTCCAGAGTTTCTTTGAAGCTCGGAGAAACCACAGAGTCCGGCACAGTTATATTCTGCGACGTCTTGCCTGGGAAAGAAAGCTTAGGATATTTTGTCGGTGTGGACATGGTAAGAAACTTTTGGAATAGATTATCTTTGTGGGTGTATCTATTAGTTTCATGACCAGTTTAGGTACAAATTGAGCACTTTGAATATTTAAAAGGGTAACGTAAAAAACATCTTCTAATTTATCTTTGGTAGAGGAACATTGACGTGGGACAGGAGTCTAGATATGGAGTTACATTTACTCTTTTTCCAGTTTGAATAAACTGGAGTAATGTTTCAATCCTTAAATTTGCTCTATGATAGCTGACCAATAAACAGGAAAAAAAAAAGCCCCATCCAGAGATGTTCCATGATATCTTGTTTTTCTTTATCTTGAAAAGATTCCCCCCGCCCCCCATTCTCTTTATAATATTTTGCTAATATGGATGGCGGTCTGAGGATCCTCTTGGCAGGCTGCCTAGAGTTTTGCCCCACTGGCTTTTCCCCACCTCTCTCTGTCCTTTAGTTGGCCTGTGCGAGTGTGCATTCCAAACCCCTCTAGTGTGCTCCTGGAAAGGAAAGTTCTGGCAAACACAGTATTCCTCATCTATTTCCAACGGCAACATGTCGTACACATTGGTGCTCAGGGCAGTTGTCTGACTGGCTTGTCTCTTAATCTGACTCCATGAACAGCACTATACTCCTTGGTGCTATGTTGGAATATAAAATAATTAAATATAGAAGTCTATTTTGGAGGGAACTCTTACATATCCATAAGATGTCAAAAGAACAATAAAAAATAGATCTTCTGTGTACAGAAATGCACACAGGGGTTCAACTAGAATATTTAAGTGCTCAGGGAATGTAAAAGTAATTAGAACAAGGTAAGCTTAATTAGGGGCCGATTTCTGGGTGAAACAATGTATTATTAATGAATCTTCCTACGCAGATGGGTGTTAGGTAGACTAGCATTTGTTGTCCAGTAAAGTAGGAGGAATCCTTTCAATTCCTTGCTTGTCTATGGGCTTACTGTACCTTGATTATTCTTGGATCTCATTTTTACCAACACAAAACCAAAAAACAAATAAGCAAAAACACACCAAAAGCTTTATTAGTGTGGCAGTTGTTTCTGATATGTTCTTTTTTTCTTTTAGGAAAAATAGTTAAAGTTTGCCAGCGTAAAATCTTGTGGAAGATCCTTTTCTGGAAAATACAGATTTTTGTATTCATGTTTTATTGAGACAGGTTTTAAAACTGTATTGCTTAATTTCTAGGATAATCCTATTGGCAACTGGGATGGAAGATTTGATGGGGTGCAACTTTGTAGTTTTGCAAGTGTTGAAAGTACAATTCTCTTGCATATCAATGATATCATCCCAGGTATGTTTTCTTTGTGTTTTTATGTATTAATAAGGCAGGGTTCCTAAGATGTGTTTTATTATGTAAATACAAGCTTCAAGATGCATTTTTGGAACGTGACTTCTTGTCCTATGGAATTGTTATCAAATAGAATATCCTATCTTATCTCCCAATGAGAATAATACTTACAGACTTTTTATTTCCAAAAGCATATGAGCGTGGGGTGGCATTTATACATTATCGTTAACTTTTCATTACCTGTTGATTCTAAGTGGGGGAAAAAGCCCTTTCTGATCATTGGAAGAGTTAGAAAATAAATCACCTGCTACCTGTTTGAGTAAGAGCCTGGTTTAAACTAGAAGCCTGTAAGCAGAAGTTGGTCACGTCATGTGACATAATATACTGTGGAGAGGATTCTTCCTGCGTGCCCTTTGAGATTTCTTCCAGTTTTGAGCTGCTGTAATTGATCAGGATTCATGACTCTCGAGTCAGATCACCCAACTTTACACCTTAAGAAAACAAAACAAAACAAAACAAAAAAACATGAAGCCGCCTTTTATTTCCTGTAAACAAGTAGCACCTAATGGCCGCTGTCAACTAATTGATAAATTCCCATTGATGGCAAAAATCAACAGCATCTCCCCCCGCCCCCCACCTTAGCAGAGTTCCAGTTACAGGCTAGTTGGCTGATAGTATGTTAATCATGAAACTGACAGAGGCATTCATAGGTGGTGCTTTTAATTGATCATTATGCAGCCATGAATAAATGTCAGAAAGCCTACATTCAGTAGCCACCAATGTATGCATCCATGAATTAGATGACTTATACTTCTTCACATTCTTGACAAATTTATAAGGTCTTCTTTTTTTTAACTTAAAAAAATATTATTTATTTTTGAGAGAGAGAGAGAGAGACAGAGAGAGAGGGAGACACAGAATCCGAAGCAGGCTCCAGGCTCCGAGCTGTCAGCACAGAGCCCGATACGGAGCTTGAACTCACGAACCGCGAGATCATGCCCTGAGCCGAAGTTGGAGGCTTCACCGACTGAGTCACCCAGGCGTCCCCCCAATTTTCAGGTCTTAATTATTGCCTGTTTTGCCGATAAAAACTGGGGCTTAGCTAGTGCTGAGGTTGGCTAGGATCAAGTAGGTGGTAGAGCCAGAATTCAAATCCAGACCTGTCTGATTGAAAGGCTCTGCTCTTTTCGGTCCCTCCTCACCCTTTGTGTATACACTTTGGATGTGAAGACTTGCACAGAAAAGCATCCTTCTCAGCCTCAGATGGATACTTGGGAATATTGTTTCCATGGAAATGGGTTTTGTCTCTAATTCTATAAAAGCTGAATTTCACTAAAGCAAGGATCATAACCGAACAAGATGATTTTTCCGCTCCCGGTATTTTTTTTCCTTTCTTCCTCATTTTGATGCAGAACACTTTGGAGTTTCCCACAGGTCATTTCAGGTCCTCAGTAACTTTTTTTTTTTTTTTTTTTTTTTTTTTTGTAAAAATGAAGGGGCTATTACTAGATGATCCTTAGGATTCCTTCTAGCCTGCACTGTTTGCCCTTCTCCTGTTCCTTGTTGGCTTGGCAAGTGATAAATCCTTGTTTTGCTGAGTTACGAAATGCTTTCTACTTTGGCTTTTAGCTTTATAGCAAGAGTACGTTAATTGGAGGTATGGCGTTCAAATAAGGGCTTGGTTTCGATTTTGCTTTGTAAAAGTTCGACAAACTCGGCTTTTCTTGAATTTTAGGGTAAATCCTATACCTACCACCTACCTAGACTCTACAAGGAACATTTTTACTGTGCTTGCTTTTTCAGGTATCCATTCCTGTATCTGTTCACTAACCCATGTTATTTCTGTATGCATTTCAGAGTACGTCGCAGACACCAGCACACATATAATTAACCGGAGAGAAGTTTAGGGTTTTTTTTTTTCCTTTTGAGTTAAGACAGACACGTAACAAAATACATGTTGTGTCATTTGAGTTTTGACTAATGCATATACCCTTGAATTGGAAACCCTTATGAAGTTACTAAAATAACTTCTAATAAGAAAAATATTTACATATCTCAAATCAAAATAACAAAAAAAGCGCAGTAGAACATCTCATTTCCATTCTTATCTCCTCCACTTCCGGGACCTCCTCATTCCATCCCTTGCCTTCCACTGCTAACTATTTTTATTAGTTTCTTGTATATCTTTCCAGAACTTCTTTATACAGTATAAGCACATATTCTCCCTTCCCTTTTTAAATAAAAAACATACAATTTATACTATTCTGCACCTTGTCTTATTCTCTTAAATCTATATCTTGGAGCTGTTGGTATACTTTTCCACTGCATTTATTTAACCAGATTCCTACCAACGTATATTTGGATTGTTTCTAACTTTTTACTATCACAAAGTAATAGTATCCCACATGCGCTAGCAAATCTATAGGATAAATTCCGAGAAGTGGGGTCGTTTGGTGAAAAGATCCATGAACTTGTATCGTTCTAGATATTACTACATTGCCTTAAGCAGTGTATATAACAGTTACCAGCAGAATATGAGGGTGACTTTTTTTTATGGACTTTGCATGAGAGTATGTTGTTGAATTTTCTCCCAGTCTGAGAGGTGAAAAATCTATTTCAGTATAGTTTTAATTTCCATTTTGAGTGAGGTTTTCAATGAGGTTAAGCATCTTTTCCTATGATTAAGGGCAATTTGTGTATTTCTTTCTGTGACCTGTATATTCATACCTTGTTTATTTTTTTTAATTGGATTATTGGCCTTTTTTCTTACCAGTTTCCTTTTTATGTGTTAGGAAAGCCAACTGTTTTGTGATTTGGGGTGTAAATGTTTCCCACTTGCCAACTCTCATTTGTGACTCGTCCTTTTTTATCTGGTTGTCCTCATTTTTGAAAATTATGGTAAGATAAATGTAACAATATTCACCATTTTAACCATTTGTCAGTGTACAATTCAGTGACCTTGCATACATTTACTGTGATGTGAAACCATCACCTCTGTCTATTTCCAGACTTTTTTCATCATCTCAAACAGAGATGCAAACTCTATATGCATCATGAAACAACTCCCCTTTCCTCCCTTCCCTCAGCCTCTGGTAACTTCTGTTCTCTACTTTCTGTCTTTATGAATTTGCCTATTCTAGATACTTCATACAAGTGGAATCTTCTAGTATTTGGTCCTTTGTAAATGGCTTGTCTCACTTAGTGTCATGTCTTTTGACTTTGCTTTAGGTGTTTTTAGCCGTGCAGAATTTTAAAATTTTTATGTAGTTGAATTATACAAGGTTGTATAGGCATTTCCCCATGTTCTCTTACGTTGCTCTTGTGGTTTTATTGTCTATATATCTTTGATCCATTTTTATTTTATGTGATATATAATGTGATATACGGATCTAGTTTAGGTCCCCCTCCCCAGATAGCTGCCCAGTTGTCCCGACATCTTTGATGAAAGGTTCACCTTTTTCCTGCTCCTTTGAGATGCCACTTTTACCATACTCAATTCCCATATGTACTTTGGCATATTCCTGGACTTTCCCTTCTGCCTGCTCATGCTTCAGTACCACACTGTTTTTAACGATTCTTTATAGTATGTTTTAATAGGAGCACTAGTCTTGCCTCATTGCTCTTCTGAATTTTCCTGCCGTTCCACATTGTCTTCAAAAAGGTTAATAGACACGTTTAAGTCTACAACCCACCTAGATTTAATTTTGTGTAGGAGATGAGGGACACATACCCAATTTGATCTACCGTGCTTGCTGCGTGTAAATCAAGTTTCAACACGGGTATATATGGACCTCTTCCTGGGCTCTACTCTTTCCTTACACTGACACCTCTAGGCCTTCATTATCATAGCTTTACAAGAAGCTTTATAGCTGGAGAGTACACTTCCCCGTTTGTTCTTGGCTGTTGTTGGCCTTTGCCTCTTCGTTGTAAATTTAACAGTCGGCTTCTCCGACATTACAGGAGAGTTCCGTTGGGATTTTGGTTGGAACTGTAGTCAACCTGTAGAGTAATTTGAGGAGACGTTTTTATTATACTGAAATTTCTAATACATGAACATTGCATTACCTTTCATTTAATCTCTTTTTAGTAAAATTTTATACATTTCTCCATTTCTTGCTTGCATTCTGATACATTGTAAAGTAAAACATGTTTTCTAACAATTTTCTGTGATCTATAGAAATACAGTCGACTCTTAGAGAACAGTTGTATTGAAACCTAATTCACATACCACATATCTCCCTCATTTAAGCTGTTCCATTTAGTGTATTTTAGTATATTTACAGATACGTGCAGTCATCACTATGGCCAGTTGTAGAACATTTTCATCACCTCACAAAGAAACCCTGTACCTTTTAGCTATTACTGTCCTATCTCTTCCTCCTCCTTAGTCCTAACCAACCCCTAATCCACTCTCTGTCTCTGGATGTTTGTCCATTCTGCACGTTTCATATAAATAGAATCACTTAACGTGTGGTCTTTTGTGACTGGTTCCTTCGTGTGGCAGGATGTTCTCAAGGTTCATCCATGGTGTAGCGTGTATATCCTTATTTTATTCCTTTTTATGCCCAGATAATATGCCATAGTATGGATGTACCCCATTTCGTTTATTCATTTGTTGAAGGACACTTGAGCTCCTTCCATCTTTTGCTGTACATAATGCTGCTATCACATTTGTGTACAAGTTTTTGTGTGGACGTATGCTTTCCTTTTTCTGGGTATATACCTAGGAGTGGAACTGCTGGGTCACTTGATAACTGGGTTTAAGCATTTGTGGAACTGTCAGACTGTTTTCCAAAGCGGCTGCACCATTTTGGATTCCTACCAGCATTGTACAAAGGTTCTGATTTCTTCACACCCTTGCCAACATTTATTATTATCTGAGTTTTTGATTCTAGCCAGCCTAGTGGGTGTTAAGTGTTATCTCAGTTGACTTTTGTGGGCTGAGTCTTGTTGCAGACAGTGTTTTTAAAATCTTTTTTTAAATTATTTTTTAAATATTTATT